CTTGGCTGCGTCAGCACACATTCCCGCCTGCCTGTCTCCCCCGCTCCGGTCCATGCAGACATCTGGTCCCTGGGATGCACCTTGGCGGAGTTGGCTATAGGGGAGCCGCTGGTCCCGGGGACCTCCTCCCTGGACCAGATCGGCCGCATCACGGCGCTCCTGGGCCCTTTGCCGACACACATGACCGCCCGCGTCGCCCACGCACTCAAGCACGGTGGCGCCGCCGCTGCGCCGGCGGGGTCTACCGTTGCCGCCGCCGCCGCCGGCAATGATACCCCGCTGCGACGCCGGCTAGGCGCCCGGCTGGTTCCGGAGCTGGTGGATCTGGTAGAGGCTTGTCTGCGCATTGACCCACGGGACCGTCCGACGGCGGAGCAGCTGCTGAGCATGCCGTACTTTGCCGGCGTATCTCAGTTGTTTGAGGGCACATCGCTTGGGATGTCGTACAGGCGCTGCGAGGGCTTGAGGGAGATGGGCGCGGCGCCGTCAAGCTCTCCGCCTCCGCCGCTGTCGACGCACCTGGCGGGTTCGCAGAAGCTGCACCAGCTAGGCGTCGATGTCGTACAGTCTGGGGAGGTGCCGTCAGCGCTGCCGCAGGAGCCGGCGCCGGTGCAGCAGCAGCAGCAGCAGCCGGCAGTGGGCCTTGGGGCCCCGTCCCGACGCCTTCGATGCCCCCCCCACACGCACCCGCCCCATGTTCAGCAACAAACCCTGTACCAGCAGCAGCAGCAGCAGCAGGTGTACACGTCTCGTCACGCCTCTTGCGGACATCATAACCACCATAACCACTACCACCATAACCACCATAACCACTACCAACAGAACCGCCACCAGCAGCACGATCAAGAGCAGCGCGAGCTCCGCACACAAGTAGTCTTTCGGAGCGGCAGCAGGCTGCCGATCGGCAGTAGCGTCAGCAGCTCCGCCGACGTCAACAATGCCACCACTTGCGCCAGCGCTACTGCCGTCGTATGTGCCAGCTGTAGCGCGGTATCGGCGTCCAGTGGTGGCGCCCTGACTACAACCACACGCAGCAATGCAAGCATGTCAAGCAACAGCATGCTCAGCACTGTCGCGCTCGGCAGTAGCAGCTACGATTGCTGCTGCTGCACTGGCGGCGCCGCCGCCTCCGCCTCCGCCGCCACGCCATGTGCAGCTTGTGATCATGTGGCTTTCCATTGCCCTACAGTAAAAACCATCTCACGCACAATATTCGAGAGCCAAGATAGGAAGACAGCCTCGTTGGTCAATAAGTCGCCACAGGCGGCGGCGGCGGCGGAGGCAGCTATAGCGGAGCAATCGCATTTCCGTATCATCATGAGCGGCGGCGGTGGCGGCAGCGGCGGCGGCGGTGTCGGGGGCACCGATGGGAATGCTGTTCCTACCGAAGAAACACCTGGATTGCGCCCCACGGGCCTGTCAGGAAACTCCCCTGCTACAGCTGGCACCGCCACCTGCGGTTGCGGCTGTAGCGGTGCTGCGTGTACTGGCGCCGGTACGGCTGCGTTTTGGCACGCCAAGGCCGTGAGGTCGAGCGCGATTCAAGCGGAGCCGTTGGTAGCCGTTACAGGCGTTACAATGCCGCCGCCGCCACTTCGTGCGTCTTCAGCGAAGGCTGCGGCGGTTGGTGGCAGCGGCGGCGCCGCCGCCGCCACCGCGAGCACCGTCGTACACAGGAGCAGCTGGCCTGGCCCGGTACATCAGCCTGGTTTCAGCAGAGAGGCCGCAATTCGCGCAATGAACGCCGCCGCCGCATTTGGTGTGGCGGATGATGCTGCCGCCATGTTGAAGGTAGGTGCTACAGCCTCCACTGCCGCAGCTGCAGCCGCGGCAGCGGCGCCCGCGCCGCCGTGGGGTTTCGGAGCTGCACAGCGCCTTGAGCCACGCGTCTTGTACAACGCGTTGGATTTTAACGACGGCAGCGGCTGTAGCAGCAGCACGAGCGGCAGCAATATCGGCTGTAGCAGTACAAGCAGGGACCTGAACCGCGAAGAAGGCAATGTTGGCGGGCACGACGGCGGCAGCAGCGCCGTAACCGCGCTTAGGGTCGGCGGCATCCCCACGACAGCTGCCCAATGGCTGGACGCCTACTACCATGATTGCTCGCCTCTGGCTTCTTCGCCGTCGGCGGGTGCGACGGCGCGAACGGCCGTGGCGGCGGCGGCGGCGGCGGCAATCTGCCGCGCGTCCACCAACACCACCATGATGAGCTTCAACTGGCACAGCACCGAGTCACCGCTCCGCAGCCCTTTCGATGAGACGGAGATGCTACAGCCGCATTTTTCCATGCCAGGTAGCAACGACGAGGCCTTGGTGGGGCCGTCAATGGCAAGCCCGCGGCAACATCATCAGGGGCCACCGGCAGCGGAGCCGTCGCCGCCGGTACGGCAGCCACGCCAGCCCCTGCAGCCGCCGCCGAGTCAGCTGCGGCGGCGGCGGCAGCGGCACCCGTACGACTACGTGAGACCTTCTGGCGGAAGGGCCGTACGCGCAGGCGTCAGCACCTGCCAGGCAGTGGCGGAGGCGGCGGCAGCGGCAGCGTCGCCGCCGCCGCTTCAACCTCCGCCGCCACAGCAACACGTGCAGGATGGGGAACCACCAGCGGCGGAGGCGCCGCTGACGTCGTCGGGGTTGCTGTCACCCGTAGCAAATGCCCTCACTGGTAGTACGGCTCAATCTCAACCGGGCCACCGCAGCCGCAGCCGCCGCCAGCGCTCGGCACACGTAACGCAGAGTGCTGCCGCCGACGGCGAAAGCGGTGCCGACAACGAGTACGGCAGTCCACGAAGCTCTTGTTCCAGTTCCGAGGCCTGGCGACCCTGCGACTTGGCCTGGACACGGTCCGCTGTGGGGCGGGGATGTGCATGGGCAGTCGGAGGTGGCGGCGGCAGCGGCAGCGGCGGCGGCGGTGCCTCCACCTCGGCCGGGAGCGATAGTCGGCGCCGCCGCTCCATTGCCTGGGCTCAAGAGCCGTCGGCCGCTTCGGTGGAAACAGCAGCAGCACCTGCAGTCGCAGAACGGCAATCACGACACAGCGAGATGCCGTCGTACGGTAGCGTAGAAGCGTTGGCGACGGCAAGTTGCGCCGTACAGCGTGTTTCCGAGGGCGATTTGGTGGATGCAGGCTTCGTAACGGCTCTGCGGAACGACGGCGACAAGTACGACACAAGACCGGCTCGTGCTGCACCTCTTGCCGTTGTGGCAGCGGCGACGGTGACGGCCATGGCGACACGCAGCGTCGTCGCCGAGCGTCGAACCTCCCTGGACTCCGTACCTTGCATGCGGAGCTGCCGTACAAGCATTGAAGATCGGAGCTGGTCCGCCGCGGCGGCGGATATCAGCGATGCCGCGGCGGCCGCCGCTACCGCCGCCGTCGGCGCCTGGGATGGCGCCTCCGGGAGCGGCAGTGACAGCTGCCGCCGCCGCCACCGCCGCCAGCGCGTCAAGGGCTGGCTCCGGAAGTATCGCCTGTGGTTTCGGAGCATCCTTGAGGTCGCCACTTCTTCGGCGCAACACCGCCAGCCACTTCAGCTGCCGTAGCGAATATACCCCAACCGGAGTGTACCAGACAGTAATGCAGAGGGGGGTTGGGGCTGTGTACAGCTGGGTAGGGACCATATCAGCTGGATCTGGATCTGGATCTGGAACTGGATCTCTGCAACTGGATCTGGATTTGGAACGGGGGGTAGGCGGCAGGGCTGCATGGCTCCCTGCATCTGCGGCGCCGGAAGGGGAAGAGAGAAAGGCAGTGAGGAGGAGCGGCGGCCCCCCCCTCCCCGGGCTACACCTCGGTGTGGCAGTGTGGCGGCGGCGGCGGCGGCGGCTTGCGCAGCTCCGAAGCCGGGTGGTGTCGATGGACGTCTGACGGGGTACGGCGGTGAAGGACGTGGCGTAGCCAGTAGGGAGCGGCTTCACGGTGCAAGATTGTCCCCCTTCATGTATTTCTAATCCTACAAACTCACTACTTGCACACCCTTACGATGTGTGTTTCAGCTAGCGGCGTGCTTTTCGTTGCTATGGCTAAATATTTGAATCACCTTTAAGAAGCTCTTCTTTCAACATGACCGGAGGGGAGGGTTTTTATTAGTGTCAACGTCAACCACAACCGATTGTGGTTGTGTAATCCTGATTGAATTTGACCGATGCGGGGAGTTGGTGATGGTTTTGTTTTGTTTTGTTTCATTTCGTTAGAGCACTTGAAAGTCAGTTGGTTGTTTTGGTGAGTGCGTTTAGAGGCTGTGTGGTGCTGGTGGATGCAGCTGCTGTTTGCGGCGTGTGGTGTGTGGTGGGGTGGTGTGTGGTGGGGTGTGTGTGCTGTGATGTGTGGTATGGGGTGGTATGACGATGACGATATGATGGATGATGATGATGATGATGATGATGATGATGATGATGATGATGATGATGATGATGATGATGATGATGATGATGATGGTGATGATGAGTGAAAAGTGAACAGGCCAAAAGCCGTGGGCGAGCTGACTTGTTTCGTCATATTTCTCATTTTATGGGTTTCGGTTTTGCGTTGGGTTCGTTGGGTTCGTTGTGGACTGCATCCAGCTTCACAGTACTGTTGTAGATGTTGTTGTTGCTGTTTGTTGCTGGTGGTCGTTTTCGTTGCTGTTGCTGCTTGCGGCTAGTTCTTCAGACGACCTGACGCCTCACATGACGGTGGTGAGGGGATCATTCCGACTTATACTCGACCGGTGGAGTGGAGAGGCGTGTTTTTCACTACGTGTTGCACACCGCCTCTACAGAGCCGCCGTTCAAAGCTGTTCAGTGCCGCCCGCGGTCCCCCTTTCACCTCCTTGACCAACACACACAATACACACACACAATACACACACACATGCACATGCACATGCACATGCACATGTACATGCACCGTCAAGATAGGGTTTTGCATCTCGGGAGACATGTGCGCGATGACGTGCACATGCTCACACATACATACATACATGCATACAGAAAGATACATGCGCAATCCCTTCCGTTTATGTTTAGACACCGTACATGGGTGCGTAGTGGCAATAGTAGTGTCTATCTGTCTGTCTGTCTGTCTGTCTGAACGCTTCGCGGCGGTTGTGGGGAGTCCCGGGAGAATGTATCGCTGATGGCTCTGGTCATTTGGTTGCTTCTTTCTATGTTCTAGTGAGTCTTGGTTTGTATGAATTAGTAGGGTGATGAATTATTGTGCTTTGGGCGGACGGGGAGAATATGCTTAAATTCCGGGGCGTTGGTGTTGGTGTTGGTGTTGGTATTGGTGTTAGTGGAGTTGGTCGTAGGTCCATCGATACGGCGAAAAAGTGGAGATCGCGCGCGCAGCAGAAGATTTAAATCCGATTTTTTGTTATCCTGCTTAACAGTCGTACCCGCATACCGTTGTTTCGTTTGTTGGTTAATACGGCACGGTTTTCTCTGAGGGACGCTTTCTTTAGGAAGGTCATTGTGGGAGCACGAAGACCCTCTAGAGCCCTGATGCGGTGCAAACTGCCAAAGCTGCCGCCACCCGCGCATTTCGTTCACGGGATGTTAAAAAATGCGAGAGCGCGCGGGCAGGGGCTGTTCTTTGTACGTACATACATGCATGCATAATTACGTACAGCATGGCAAGGCATTGCATAGCGCGTCACACCACACCACACCACACCACACCACACCACATCATGCACACATCACATCATGGAGGCTGGAGAGGGGGCCTCGTAGGGGGGAAGGGCTGGTAGGGGGGGTCTTCGTTATATGCCGTACTTCCCTCCAAATCTTCCACAGCGTTTTTTTCTGTTGCTGCTGCAAAGCTCTTTTAGAAGTGTTGATGGAAATAATGATGATGATGATGAGGGTGTGGTGTGGACGGCCATTGTTGCTGCTATGACAGAAATGTTGATGTTGCTTACGTGACATTGCTTTGAACAACATTTTTAAAAAAAGTGATTATACAAAACATGTTGTCGCCTGGGCGACCTTCACTCATGATCACGGATTGATATACCTCCGATCCAGCCCGGTGACCCTCTCGTCCCGGCGTCAAACATATCCTCTATGTATATCTATGAATGGTCGACTTGGACACGATGCACCTTTGTAAAATTAAAAAGATGGTGGTGCTTGGTTATGAGGGCCTATCGTCTGTCCGTACGTCACGTCCGTACGTCACGTCCGTACATGCCGCGTTCAAACACACATGCTACGCCGAACATGTCCTGTCCTGTCACGCGCGATGAGCTTCAGGCGGCAGCAGCGCCTTGCGTTCTTGCTGTGATAAAGTATTAGCTCTTTCACCGTAAGGGACTACTTCTATTACTTCAGGGCGCCAGTCTCCTGTGGTGGTGGCGATGTGGCATGGGGGCCCTGTAACGCCCGCGGTACGGCGGGTCGTACATCCCACGCCCGCTCTGTTCTGTGATGCCATCAGGTTATTTGAGTTCACGTACAGTCTTAGTCCGAAAGATACGCAGATTCGGTTGCTGCTTTTGCCGAGCCTGATGCCGCTTTGGCGCTGGAGCGCTAACGTTTTTAGTTGTTGTCTGTTGTTTTGTTGGTTTGGTTGCCTCTTTTGGACTTTTACCTACTGGTTTGCTGCTTTAACCGTTTATTTTTTTCCTAATAACCAGGGACTATGGCTGTAGGTTTTTGTCCTTTGCTTGTAGAGCAGCAGCAGCAGACAGACGTTGTTGGGAAAGACTGATATGTATTCGGTGGCTGTGTATTCGTTATGCCGTAACATTACACTTTATATCCCGCACGTCTTGCGAGGATGGTGGAACGTATGTGGGCTCACCGAAACTCAATTACCCCCTTTGGACGCTAGTCTGGGCTGATGTGCGGTGTTTTCCTTTCCTCCGTGGCTTTTAGGCGTTGTAGTATTGCCCTTGGGCCTTCGGCTCGTATGGTTAGTCTTACAGGTATGGGGTCACGCACCCCCAACCATGTAACACACACACATATCCCATCTGCCGAAAAAGGGCTTTATTTGGCACATCTATTTGGGCACAGACCGAAATAACTGAGGACGTATTCCTATCCTACGTCACCATCTCCCGTCGTCCATTCCAACCTAGAAAACTTCGTCCAACCAACATTCCAACCGACAACGGTTCTCAGCCACCCCGCTGAGAGGAACAAAACTCCAGCCACGATAAATCGTGTTTCAATCCATGAAGGTACTAAAACTGTACTATGTCCGGATGCACACGTAAAATCCGCAGCGCTTCTGCTAAAGAACGATGATAAACTTTATTGCTCAGCCCTGCCGTGTTGCGCGTTACAGTAGCTAAGCCAGCAGCCAGAAGCAAGTAGCAAAACACACAACCTGGCTGCGAAACCCCCTTCCAAACACCAACACTCGTGGCCAATAGTCCGCTGAATTGCTGCTGTAATGGTGTCGGGCAAGAGCTGCGGAACAGACCAGCGACGTCTCTAGACTGAGAACAAGATCGATCCTTTGCGCCTCCTCAAAAATCAGTTCCGATCGCAGCCAGGTCGCCGCGTCTCGCAGAATCGTAGTTGGCGCTGACCTATCGACGTACGGTTGCGGCGGCAAAGGTAAAGGTAAAAAGTCACGTTGCGTGTCGGGATGTGGCGCGGCGTGGTACGGCATTGTACGGCATACCATGGTGAACCGTGGTGGTGCATGAGCAGCAGAGCATATGTTGCGCTTCGCGTGTGTCGCGCTGCTGCTGCTTAGTTTCTTCCTCCTCCTTTCATGCGCCACAACAACGCACCTGCTTCCAGTTGATGATGTTGAGCCAGGCTGACGTGTAGTCCGGCTTTTTCGGGCCGTACCTGTGCCGTACCGTCGTATGCATACGTCAAAGATTAGCATCATTGCATGCGACCACATTAGCGCCCCGAGTACGCACAACAGGGTGCCATATGCTCAACGAACACGGAGCCCGTAAGCATGCGGAAATACACGGTGTGCGCTATGTGTAGTTGTGTGCTGGATGTGTGTTGGTTAAAAAACATATGCTGGGGGATGTGCCAAGGGATGGGATATATAAGCCCCGCGGTTCCCAGGACACATATTATCGCGCTCCGAAACACAGTTAGCTACTATACAAAAACGGGCTTGATCTTGATACCGTAGCTTACTTTGCGAACGTCATGTCACGAAAGCCCGCTGGAGCGGCAAGTGGGTGTGGAAAAGAGGAGTTACAGTCCAAACGAAGGCAGAACGTCGGGGGGCATCTGGCGTTGGCCATATCTACAGGCAGGCAGCATGGAAGGCGTACGACAACACGTACGACAAGGAGACGTACGAGATGACTCACTCAAGGTAGTACGCGTGCTCCCACACGTCGATTCCGAGGATGGGTGTGCAGGGGTCAGCTAGCACCACCTGCATGGTCGGGGGGGGGACATTCTATAGGTTCGTTGTGTGGTACAGCATGGTACGAGAGCCTTTGCGTGTAGCTAATAAGCCACCCAGGTGGTTAAGAGGTGGTTAGAGGTGGGGAGGAGTGGGGAGAGGGAGCAAACACCGCTCATCGCGGCGCTGCAGTGCAACTGATACACTGCCTCAAGGCGGGCCAGCGCTGTGCCACGTGGATCACCGTGTGTGTATTGCCGTGTGTGTATTGCCGTGTGTGTATTGCCGTGTGGTATAGCGCGGAACTCAGTGCCGTCTCCCACATTGCCCCCCTCCATGCACATCATATCTGTCACCTCACCCCCATGAGGGGGTTGTCCTGGTTGGCGGTGTCCAGAATTCGCAGTCCGCCGTCGCTCTGAACGCACAGCCAAGACCAGCCGCTGCCGAAGTGGCCATCAGCTACCAGCTTGAAGCGCCGCTGATGATGGGCGGTGATTATGGCGGTGATCATGGCGGTGGTGGTAATCGTAGTTGTAATAGTAGTGGTAGCGGTGGGGAGGGAGGGCAAATGGAACCGAGTGGAGTAGGGGGCAGAGCAGGAGAAGGGCTTGGCAATTTGGGGGAGGTGGGTGTGGGGAAGGGGAAGGGAAATGGCGCTGGTTGGAGCCGATGACGACGAGGAGGCGGCAAGTCGGAATTTGTACACTGACGCCGCAAGCTAAGCCGCAATTTGTCTTGTCTTCCACAATCGCCGCTTCTAGCCGTTTCCCTAAATGGGCGCCCCCCCTCCCAGCCAGCACGTCGATCGATTTCCTCCCGCGCCCCTCCCGCGCCCTCGCCCTCCCTGATATCCGGGACCCCCCCCCTCCCCCCCCCCCCTCCCCCTCCCCCTCCCCTCACCAGCATTTCGTCAGTGGAACCGAAGGCGCCGTTTATGGCGTTTTGCAGCTGCGGGGAGATATTCGTACGGGAGGTTTCGGAGGATCCTGGAGGTGCCATCACCTGCGCAGTTGAAAAGGTCCCCCATACGCTTCGTCTCATCATGCATGCCGTGACGTTATCAGAGAGACCAGCGACGTCGGCGGCATTCCGTCTCAAACCCAAGACGGTACTACCGGTGGGGGCGGGGGGGAAAATGGCGCCTCTGTGCGGAACAAATGCATCCGAACAGTCTCACACGATGTACGCGATGTGACCGAAACTATATCGAACTGGTTTGGGTCACAAGGCCTTGGGTCACAGACCCTTGGGTCAGTGAGTTCGCTCCGTCAACCACTCGAAGCCCAGTTTCAACACACACGTGCTGTATCGTGCCTGTGTCGTGCTGTGCTGTGCTGTGCTGTGCTGTGCTGTGCTCACCTTCCAGAACATCTGGTGATTCCAGTGGCCGCCTCCGAAGTTGCGAACCACCAACTCCGTGTCGGGGCTCAACCCGCCGCGACCCACCTGCAGAGAACAAGGGAATGAAACCGCCGTACAACGCGTGCGTGCCGTACAAGGCAGGGTTTGTAACGCCGGGAGCGATAGGGGAAGAGAAAGTGAAAACCGCATTTAGCATGTGCGGTTCAGGTGGCGGTGCAGCGGCCTGGAAAAGGAATCGGGTGAGGAGCGGGCATGCCGCATAAGCCTATCACCTCTCTTGCGGTTACCCTCCCGCGCGTGTATGTGTGATTTAAGGAAAGGAACGAGCTCTTCGGATGACCCACAACAGGGCTGACAACGACAAGGCGTGTCCTTCCAACCACCCTTCCAACCAACAGGCTCCCCCTCTTCCCCTTCCCTCCCCCTCTCCCCCTTCCCCCTCCCGCTCCCCCTCTCCCTTCCCCTCCCCTTCTAGCTCTGCCTTACCATCTTAATCAGGTCGGGCAGGGTGGCGGTTCCGGAGCCCGCCAGCGGCCCCAGCACCCCGTTCAACGTGTTGACGTACTCCACACCCTCGTGGAAATCATGGTGCAGCTGCATGATCTGCAAACCGCGTTGAAGACGACAATATCCAACCTAAAAGCATATCTCTTGGCAATTAGGATTTTTGTAGCTTTAGGAAATATTTGGCTTTCCATCAAGCTTGCGGGGGAAGAAAAGAAGTAGCTAGCTTATTCGTTGTCGTGACGCGTTTACATGGGGCGTTTGTCTGGTCTGGATTGACACTACTGCAATTAGCAGTTTAAGGTCCTGGGTTCGATTCCTGGGGAGATCCCCGAATTAGTCGGGAGCGCGAGATTATGGCTAGCTGCTGAGATGTGGAATTGAGGTCACAGTTGATGGACCAGATTCGCACGCTGGATTGGTGGCGATTGCCGAACCCTCCATCTCATCGGGTGTTCGGGTGAATGGATGAGGAGGGGACCCTGAAGGCTGGATCCGCCGCCTTGGACTTACAGTTCTTATGGCGAAGTACAGTGTGGTGGTGGTGGATGGTGCTGTAAGGTGATAAATGATCTAGAACTGACAATGTGATAAAGCGGCCCAGAAGCCTCCCACTCTGTAACATTACATAACATTACAAAATACATTACATGGGGGAGGGAGATCACAACAGACTTTTAGGTTTAGGTTTAGTTTTGCGGACAGAGCTGCTATCGTTGATCCATTCGAATCTGTACTGTAAACTCATTCTTGCTGCACAATATTCAGCAGGCAACATGCGCCCGGTGCGCAAGAAAGGAAGGCTAGAGATGGAAAGGAGGATGCATGGCGGAGTCCTGTCAAGCTGCGGGGATGATTTCACGCCAAGCTTTCTCGCCACGCTCAGAGGCAGGACGTAACGCGTTGCAAATGCCTTTTCCCCCAACCTGCGGCGACGTGTGTTGTTGACTGGCTGCCAACCGACAACCATCCTCCGAAACCAGCCCTCATAACCCTCCCTCCACCCCCACCTGGCGGGAGATGACGGGCTCCAGTGCGCCGTAATCGTACGGCAGGGGCTCCAACACGAAAAGTTGCGCCTATAAAGCCATCGTGCGCGGGTGGCAGGGAACATCAACGGGCTATCAATATAGTATCGTTGAATTTTCGGTAGGTGGGAAGTGCGTAGTGGTGTGGAAATGTTGGAGGAAGGAAAGGGAACGTGCACTGAGAAATAGGCTGTGTGCATTGTCCTATATAAAACTCCCCCCAGCGGTGAAGGTGTGTGTGTGTGGGGGGGGGGGGAGGGGGGAAGAATTGTGGGGCCCCGAAAAACGCCAAAACACAGCGACTCGTCAAGCGGCTTAATGTGGACAGATCACTGCAGTACACATGAATTTCAGGTCCATGTTCTGACCAGGTATGGGTCAGAACAGTTTCAAGCAGCTTGCACAACTGTGTCACACACTACGCCGTTCTCACAGCAACCGAAGACCAGCGACCTGAGGACCGCGACCCGCAACGATTCGAGGGAGCGCAGAGCACACGGACCGAAAGGCGGCGGTAGAGCACCTACTGGCGCATTGTCGCTGGCGCCGCCGATGGGCAGTAGCAGCAGTAGCAGCGCCGACAGCAGCGTCAGTGCTAACGTCGTGGCCGCCTGCGACCGGACGACGTGAAGCTGCCGGTTCCGCCAGCTGGCCCCTTCGCGGCCCCTTCGCTTGAACGCCATTCGGCTGCCGCGTGGGGTGAGCAAAAAGGGTAAAAGACAACCAAAGGGGATAACCAAAGGGTTTCCCCTCCAGAGCCGTCCGCTGTGGAAAGTCTGAAGCGCCCCTTCTGAAGGCCGTTGTATGGTCGTTACAGCGTCAGGCCCCTGAATGCGTCGTTCGGCTTTCGTCAACGCAGTGGTGGCGGCGGCGGTAGGAGTAGTAGTAAGAACAGCAATATTAGGGACGGGAATACCCGTAGTAAATGGGGAAAAGCGGCCCTTCCCGAGCTGCTCGGGGAGTCGGTACACGTCAGCAGCTGTATGTGGGCACGTGGGTACCTGGGAATCGCCCCACGGGTCACTCAATATACGACTTGCCACCAGAGAGTGAATTACCTACCATTTGCAGCCAGTTTGATCGCAACGAGATTCAGTTTTATGAAGGGTTTAAGGTGCACGGCGTGACTCGCGGTGAGGTTGGGGGGGAGGGGCCTTATAGTCTCAAGTGGGTGAGCGAGCCGGTGATGCGTCTGTCCCATGAAACAGCGTGTACGCCACTGTGGACCACCACCGCCGAACGCCACCTCTGAAGTACGGAGCCATCGTTGGTATTCCGTAACCAACATCGAGAGCGCATCGACAGCGCATCGACAGCACCTCATCTGCGCAGCTTTATTTACCAATCGCAACGATGGTGATACGATACGTATTACTTTGAGGATCAACCGCCCTGTGTATTCATTATGTATATATGTGTGTGTGTGTTCGTTACTTTAGCGAATGACGCAATGCCCTCTTTGTAAGGTCGTACAAACGACGGTCCTGAGCGTGTTCGCGAGTGGTTGGTTCGTTGCGCTGGAGGTCTAGGGTGTCCTCGGAACGAACCGCCACCGCGGCTCGCGCTGGCCGAGGTGGGAGCCCGTTCCCTGCTTGGGGATGGCGAGGTGAGCCACATGGTATACCACCGTATATATACATGGTATGTATATTTGTATGTATGTATATATATGTATGGTATGTATACATATACTATATATGTATACCATGGACACGTGACGTCGTGTGATGTACGATGCCTGCAGTATAAGAGCTAAAAGAGAGAACCAAACTGTCTTTATTCGTTCTTTATTGGCCTGATACCGCCTGTTTGTATTGTACACGGAAGAGGACACACCCTTGCCAAAGGAGGTGAAGGCACAGCACAACAGGACGTGGTGTGTCCTGAACGTGTGTGTCCTGTATATACGATCACGCAGGTGGGGCTGTGCGAGCTGTCGCGTGTCGGGCTCTTCCAAAACACATCTCATTACAAGCAGACCCGTAGAGCATTCACCTCGTTCCTACGCATGTCCGTTTGAACATGCGACGCAACAGCTGTAAAATTCATGATGCCGCAATTTGATGCCCTTCTTCCACACACCCGCCGGGGGTACGGCGGGGACCGTGGCGTCATTCCGGCATCCTTCTCCTCCTCCTCCGGCCCTTATATCGCCCCTAGTGCAGTGCCCAACCACACGCCTGGCCCCTGCGCCAACATCATCATGGGCGCTCCGCTCCGCACACACCCCACATATATCCTCCTCGTCTCCTCTCCACTGCGCTCTGCCTCTCCTTCTTCTTTTCCCGCTAGCACCGATATATAGCCGGCGCCATCGAGAGGACATGACACAGGGTGTGCGCGAAAGCAAAAAACTGCGACACGGCGTAGCATTGCCCGATGTGCTCTTCCTTCCACAAGCCCTGTAAGTCGCAGCCTCTTCGTCACCGCACTCCTCCCGCCATTCCTCCTCATCCGCATTGTTATCCATCACCACCACTACCACTACCACCACCACTACCATATCTCATTTGTGCCCTCCGTCGCCGAACGCGGAGTCGTAGTTGAGGGTGGTCTCCAATTTTTTGGCATCGGCCATCTTGCGAACCGCCTGGGGGGGCCCAAGGATGGACAGAGGCGCGGACGATGACGACGGTGATGGGAGAGGAGAGAGGAGAGACCGTAGAAGGAAGGAAAAGGAACAGCATTCATTAAAAACGCATTACAGCATCGCAGGACAATCAACAAACGAACTTTTGTGTGCATGTGTGTTGTGTGAGAAGAGAAAGCGTGTAGCGTGGAGAGAGCGAGAGTGAGGGGGAAGGCAACGTCGACACATTCAGGGCGCGGCGTGAGAGCACAGCAGCAGCGGAACAGCAAGATGTGCTTCCCAAGGACACGACGCAGGCCCCGCGGCTCCCAAACCATACAGGCCCCAAGGCGCAACGCAACACATCACAACAAAACAGCAAACCGCGAAATGAACACGAAGTCTTCTTCCAACCGGAGGCCCCATCCTCTCCGCTTTCTCAACCCCGGCCCAATGCGTCACAAACCACCCACACCTCGACACAGTACGACGCGACAAAGGTATACGCATGACGATCCACACAGCAGGTCTCCTCCCCAACCTCTACATTCCACATATTGAATGACACGTACACATACACACAAACACACAAACACAGGGCAAGTGTGCGGAAACCTCTTGCTTCGTGAACAACAAGAATACCTCCCACCCGTCCCACCCCACCCCACTCACTTTTCACCACCCCACCCCCCTCACCCACCCACGCACGCCTACGAGACCAACCCAAGCCTCCACCACCCAACGCACCTTCATGAAGTCCTCGTGCACCACGTAGTCTCGCTCGTCCCGGATGGCGAACATGCCCGCCTCCGTACAGATATTGCGCAGGTCAGCACCGTTGAAGCCCTGGGCAGTGGGGACAGTGGGACGCAGGAACAGGCACCCGGCCGCAGGATAACAGAGATGGTGGGAAACAATAGGAAACAATAACACCACAAGACAGGACACCTACACACATACATATAGATATACATATACATGCAAACACTGCTAGGATAGTGGCCGCGTGGGTGAAGCTGAAACCCCCTACTTTATTTACACAACCACATACACACTGGGTAGGGGCGTAGTGTGGACAGTTTTGGTTGTAGTGTTCAGCTTTGCGGCTTAAGGCGCCGGCAGGGCGGCAACCCTCATCACGTGGAGGAGGTGGAGCCCAAAGGTGTTGTGTGCAAGGGCCCTCCGGGTGCGCAGCCGCGCCTGATGCTCAAGGCGCAGGCTGCTGCATGGACGGATCTGTGCCGCAGAGCGTGATGAGGGTGCTTGTTTGAGGGGCCTGGTAGCCACCGCGCTGTCTTTCCTCTTGACAAAAGGGGGAGAGACGCGGGGCTGCACACGCCCTCGGTTGAGCAGGAGGGGAGTGTGCCCCCCCTCACGCCCCTCTCCTCCCGCCACGAGGAGGAGAGTGCTTCGGCGGTAAACCGTTCCCGTCGGGGTACTGCCCCTGGCCAGTGTCAGGCCCGGATCGATATGTCACAAATACATATACATGCATGCATGCATGTATGTATGCATGTATGTATGTCTCCTCTTCCATACATGCATACATGCATGTATGTGTATGTATGTATGTCTCCTCTTCCTCCCCCCATTGCCCCCCCCCCACATCTTACCTCCGCCAACTTAATGACGGCCTCGTAGTCGATGTCTCCGTGCTTGGCCAGCTTGGAGGAATGGATCTTCAGGATCTCCATCCTGAAGAGGCGGGTGGGCGGGTGGGTGAATATCGGGCATGTGGATGTGGTTGCGTGGGTGCGCGGACGTGTCGTGTGTGTGTGTGTGTGTGTGTGTGTGTGCCCATGGGACATGGTCACAGGGCGGGCAGAGCAGTACAGGCAGAGCAAAAGGAGGATAAGACGCGCCACGGACAAATGAAAAGCAGATACCAGAGATAGACGGATACTCCAGGAACAGATAGGCGGATACTGCAGAGGAAGTTTCTAGAAATTACCGAAAAGTAAGGGGGGAAAAGAGTCGAGGAGGAAGAGGAGGAGGTGGTTTGGCAATGTGGGGGTGGTGTGGGGAGGTTTCGAACATCAGAGCGGCTGAGCACCCGGGTAAGCTGAGCAACAGCCAAAGAGAAGCAATGTCCCGACGTTCAAAGTTCACCCGCGGGGGCCGATGTTGACCACCACCCCTGTGTGTATGTGTGTGTATGTGTGTGTATGTGTGTGTATGTGTGTGTATGTGTGTGTATGTGTGTGTATGTGTGTGTATGTGTGTATGTGTGTGTATGTGTATGTGTATGTGTATGTGTGTGTATGTGTGTGTGTACGTGTATGTGTATGTGTATGTGCATGTGTGTGTGTATGTCTCGCCGCGGTGGCGCGGCAGGCGCGACCCAAAGGTACACAAGGCCAGCCCCCCATCCCTTCTGAACTCTGTTCCTTTTACCCCCATTCTTACCCCCATTCTCACCTCCCACACCGTCCAACCCCCCAAAACAGCCATGTCGGCGGACTTATCACCACCATCACCTGCTGCTACTGCTGCTCCACATTCATCGCATCACCATGTCACCTTCACCCGGGATCCTGCCCTCTACTTCACATCGCATGTAGGCCCCCCCCTTCCCCTCCTCACACCCACACCCACCCCGGCGATCCATACCCTACCACCTCACATTGACAAGACAGCCCCAAACCACGTCGGCTCCCATCATCGCTACTGGGTGATGACCAAGTCACCGAGTTAGGCTAGGATGGGGAGGCGCCTGTCCCCCAACCGCCCGCCCATCCAGCGCCTGTCCCCCCTAGGCCGCCCGCCCACCTGGCGTTCTCGTTAGGAAGCGGGATCTCGATCTTGCGGTCCAGCCGGCCGGGTCGCAGCAGTGCGGGGTCTAGCACGTCAGGGCGGTTGGTGGCCATGATCATTTTGACCTGCGTGCGTACGCGTGTGCGTGTACGTGTGTGTGTGTGTGTACGTGTGTAAGCATACACACATACCACATCTCCATTTCCCCCATCGTGGCTACTGATCATTACAAGCACATAACATACACACACACATCGACACAGACACACGCACAGTTACATACACACACGCAGCGCATAATCGACGTCGTTTCCCCTCCCCCCTCCTCCCC